TGTTGGATACTGAAGTGCGTTAGTTCTTGGCGGAGTAATTCCGAAATACGTGCGCTAAAATATTTTGCGAATTTAAACTTATAGATAACTTGACAGACAAAAAAGATTGATCAGTCTGTTCAAATTCGTCAACTTTTAGGTAACAAGCAACTTGCATATATGAGAGTGTTGAAAAGTTCATAAACCTGACCAAGTAGGAAATGCATTTTAAAATTTTACCTCTGGTCATGTGGTCAGATCTGGAGCTGAGAAAATTTCAGTAACTGCATGTACAATATCTCAGATAGATAGATAGGAAGAAGTAGATCTATCTATCTATCTATCTATCTATCTATCTATCTATATATATATATATATATATATATATATATATATATATATATATATACATATATATATATATATATATACATGAAGAAATATAGTTTTAAGGTGTGCTATATTATGGGGATAAAAGTGCTCAATATCAAAAGATAGAGCGTATGTAAATATAAATATAAAAGTGAATATTGAAGTCAACGCTCAGAGGCGACAGGCTGTTTTCTGACGATGGCGCCTATCATGAAACAGCCTGTCGCCTCTGAGTGTTGTCTTCAATGTTCACCTTTATATATATATATATATATATATATATATATATATATATATATATATATATATATATATATATATATATATATATATATATATATATATATATATATATATATCATATATATCTGTTCTATATCTATATATATATATATATATCTGTTCATATCTATCTATCTATATATATGTCTGTTCGTATCTATCGATCTATAATATGTCTATATATCTATATATATATATATATATATATACATATCAGTCTGTTTCTCTCTCTCTCTCTCTCTCTCTCTCTCTCTCTCTCTATATATATATATATATATATATATATATATATATATATACATTTGTTTGAATAAAAGACAGACTACGTTAAGATTCCATGTAATAAGCTATTTCACCATAACCCTTTAACAGGGTTCTGGATCATCAGACTTTATTTCCAAAAGCTGAAATGAAGAATGAAAAAAAAATATATATATATATATATATATATATATAGGTCAGTCTGTTCATATCTAGCTATCTATATATATACGTATAGAAGTTTGTTCATATATATCTATCTATCTATCTATCTATCTATCTATCTATCTATCTATCTATCTATCCGCTGGCTGTCTGTCTACTCGTCTAAATATCTAAGATAAACATCTTTTTAAGTACACCAAACTATATAATGTGTAGAAATTTTCTTTGTATTTGAGACAAGAATCACTGCACTGGCAAATGTTAGCCTTCACACACATACTGTACCTTAGAAACACTAACACTGGTGCTTATACAAATATGCATCACTCACTCACACACACACAAACACACATACATACACACACACACACACACACACACACACACACACACACACACACACACACACACACACACAGAATATGCATCATACACAAACACATCCTAAAACTGATGCATATACAAATCACGACTGGTACAAAATGTTCATTTTCCAAAATAAATAAATAAACATTTGCCGACGACCTGATGATTTCGTGAAAACGCATAAGGCAATCTGTAGTGGTCGGTCATTGTACACCGGAAAGTTATTAAGAAAATTATACACAAACATACACACACACACACACACACACATGAACACGTATATGCACACGTGGATATTATATATCTATATTTCTTTATCAATGGAGAAAAAGTGTTCAATATCGGAGATAGAGCATTGATAGGTAAGTACATAAACAGTGTGGACATAGGAATCAATAATGTATGGTAGTTTCACGACTTAAGCAATCGTCAGACAATAACTCTCACTCTCTCCATCTCTATATGTGTGAGGGTGTGCGTGCGTATGTGTGCACACATGCATCTCGATAGTTAGATATATATGAGTGCGTGTACGTGTGTATATGTATTTTAAATACATACACCGGCATATACAGGTAGCTATCTATACAGCTTCGACTGGTAAAATTTGAATAAAGTAATTAAGAAAGAAAATTTTAATTATTTTAGTAAAAACAAATAAAAACAAACTAAAAAATGCGTACAAGTAATAAATAAATTAATAATAATAAATATATTTTAAAGTAAAAAAGCTAAAAAATTAAGTGTAAATAAAGTAAAAAAAAATAATCAACATAGATAAAAAATAAGAAAAATAAACGAAAATAAATCATTTTGAAAAATAATAACGTAATAAGTAAAAAAATTAAATAAAAAATGCTAAAATGTAATATTTTTATTATTGATGATGATGATGACGACGACGACGATGATGATGGTGATCATCATCATCATCATCATCATCATCATCATCATCATCATCATCATCATCGTCTTTTTCATCATCATCATCATCATCTTCCCCAGTCATTAAAATTAGACGACAACAAAAAATTAAATTAAAAATACTTTTTTTTATACATCTTTTTTTTTTTTCATTTTTTAAAAAGGAGTATTTGCCTGGACAAAAGTCTAGTGGGTGGGGGAATTATTTAAAGAACAAAATCTCTGATAGTTTATAAACTACTTGTTTCCCTTTTAAATGCACAGCATTCAATTTTTCAAAACAAACACTTTTTCTATAAATCCGCTTGATTTGCCGTTTTCCCTACAATTAATTTTTCAAAAGCCAATTACTGTTCGGTATTAATTGGCTGATGAACCACAATTTATAAACCTTTTATCATTCATGTTGCAAATTATTCTAAGTGAAGTATTTGGGGGCAAATATGTCTAAAAAAAACAAACAAGAGAACAGAGAGGTGGTTAACAAATAAGATTTTCATATAGCTTTATTTATTTTGCTGGCAAATAACAACATATGCTGTAGGGAGAGCATGCAGAATAGATCCCCAAACCAATTTGTTACAAGTCAAACGAAAATCTGATGCACATGTCTTCTTAGCTGAATGTTTTAAAACGTATGTCAGTTCGAAAGATAGATAGATAGATGAGATAGATAGATAGATAGATAGATAGATGAATGATACGCACACTCTGAGATAGATATATAGATAGATAGATAGATAGATACTGATGACGTCGATAGATGAATAGATAGATGACATGATAGATAGATAGATGGATAGATAGATATGATAGATAGATAGATAGATAGATAGATAGATAGATAGATAGATAGATAGATGAACTAGATAGATAGGAAAGATAGATAGATGAATGAAATGGATGCGCACACTCTGAGATGGAGATAGATGGATAGATAGAGATAGATAGATGGATAGATACTGACACTGACGTCGAAGATGATAGATAGATAGATAGATGGAGGATAGATAGATAGATGGATAGATAGATGATAGGAACTAGGAGACGGGTGACAAAATGATAGTAAGAAGAAAAGGAAGGAATGGAAAGAGGACAGAGACAAAAGAGTGTATATGCGCATGTTCGTACAAGTGCGTTCCTATGTGCGCACGCTCATTTGGGAATAATGTGTGTGTTTGTGTGTGTGTGTGTCCGCGCGTTCGCGTGAGTGTGTGCACGCGTGCATGCATGTGTGTGTGTGTGTGTGTGTGTGTGTGTGTGTGTGTGTGTGTGTGTGTGAAAGACAATTCATCCAGCCACATTTTCCATCATATAATTATTATTATATTCCGTCGTGAGCATTATTATTCTTTCTCTTGGGTCCTCATGGAGATATGCATTTATAACTCACAATGAGGCGGGCAGTTTAAGTCGAGAAAGGCAAGTCACATGACTATTATTCCAGATTCCAATTTAATCTCTTTCTACACACAAACACACACACACACACGCGCGCGCACAGACAGAGAGAGAGAGAGATAAATAGAGAGAGAGAGAGAGAGAGAGAGATGGAGAAAGGAAGAGAAGAAGTAGGAGAGGGCGAGAGATGAATAGAAAGAGAGCGAGAGAGAGAAAGCGAAAGAGAGGGATAGAAAGAGATAGAGAAAGTGGGAGAGGGGGAGAAAGAGATAGAGAAAGTGCGAGAGGGAGAGAGATAAATAGAAAGAGAGAGAGAGAGAGAAAGCATAAGAGAGGGTAAAGAAAGTGAGAGAGAAAGAGAAAGAGAGAGACTCACAGACACTGAAACATACACAACTATACAATCAACAGTTTTCATAGCGCAAAATTCGTTTTAAGAATACACATACGCACATGTATACACACACACACGCACGCACGCACACACACACACTCATATATATGTGTGTGTGTGTGTGTGTGCTTGTGTGTGTATGTGCACTTGTGTGTGTGCGTGTGTATATATATATATATATATATATATATATACGTGTGTGTGTACATGTGCGTGTATTAATTATGCAGAAGTTGGAAGAATAAAAGTGTTCATATTCTGAAATGCATCTGTTTCCTGGACTATCAACCGGAAATATGATGTCATTTCACGTTGACATACAACAGGTGTGGCCTCACGAAAAACACTACCACTTGTCGCACATTCTGTTTTATTGATCCGTTTGTTGATCTAAAACATTTTTTTTTAAATTGTTTTAAAAAAGAAAAAAAAAAAGAAGTAAATTAGTTATGGCTTACAAAGGCGAATATACTTGCAACTATAAGGACTTTTATTAAGTTTTACTTTTATTTATTATTATTATTATTATTATTATTATTATTGTATTTCTGCTATGGACACACTACCTACCAAGTCTGCGGAAAGACCTAAAAAATTTTTTTTTTTTTTTTTTTTTATCTTTGAAGTTGCTAGCGTTACATAGACAAAGTTCTCCTTAGTGTGTGTGCTTTACTTAATAAGACAATTTTCTGTATGTAATAAGCTGGGGAATATTCTTTCAACTATAAGGACTTTTATTAAGTTTTCAAATTCCTTGGTTGCTATGTTACTTTTATTTATTATTAGGCAAGTTTTTTCTTTCTGGTTTTGACAATATTATTATTATTATTATTATTATTATTATTATTATTATTATTATATTAAATTTACGGTTAGTAATGAGCGCCAAGGTGTTGCTCTTAAACTTTAATTAAGCAGAGAAAAAAAAACGGGGAAAAAGCAATAATAAAATACAGGGATCCCTCGAGTAATGCGTGTTCGATTAATGCGTTTTCGAATAGTGCACTAAAATTTTTATATACCAAAATTCGATTTAGTACATCCATGATACTTGATTAGTGCGGTAAAACATTCTTCACTTTAACCACAGTAATTGAAAATTGACTTTTTTTTTTATAGTTACCGATTAATTAAAAAATATTTTCGATTAGTCCGTATCTTTTAATTTATATATGAGACGCATTAATTAATCCTTGGATTTATGTATAATTATAAGAAAATTAAAGTTCTGCGCAAATTGTACCTTGACTCTCCTGCATGACTATCACACACACACGCACGCACGAGCGCACTCACACAGACACACACACACACACACACACACACACACACACACACACACACACACAAGGGAATATTGTGTGTTTGTGTGGACACATTCATAAAATCAAGGTGAAAGAAAGAAATAAAGAAAACGCGATAAATGGCGAGATGTGCGCACGCTCACGAGTGTGCGCACGCAACTTGCGTTCATTCTACGGGCACAGTACATCTTCGCGAATTTTTCTACGGGTGGAATATCATAAAAATATTTAAAACAACCGTGAAGAATTCGTAGGTAAGAAAAAGACAATAAAATAGCTTGACTGTTTTAAGTTTTATTTCTATCTTTATATTTATTCATTCATTCATTTATTTAAGCAGCTTTCGTGTAAAGTATGGATTTTTTTTTTCACGGACAAAGTGCGCACGTATGCTTTCCTTACCAGCAAACATGGACACTTACTTTCTTCAAAGTCAAAAACTTTTTCTGATTATCAAAATATTTTTCGAGAGAAATTTAAAAAAGAAAAGTATTTAAGCTGATAGTAACAGCTATCAGCACTAAAAAGTGGAATCTGGGAGGTGAATTCAAATTCTAACCCTCGTCTGTCGCGTTCACTTTCGCAATAATGCACTTGGGAAAAGCATGAATCCATTTGTTCTCACACCAACTATGGATTTAGATAGCAAGGCAGACTGGGCTCTCAATCTCTAAGAGAACAACAATGAATTTCAATCTGTGGAGTAGGCAACGGCAAACCATTGCCTTATCTTTCCCAAGAAACCATGTCATTTTAATGAAAAAAAGAAAAAAGAAAAGAAAAGGAATATGTGGAGAACCTTGATCCCCTAGTTCCTGAGGAAACTTGGAACTAAAAAAAAATAAAATAAAATAGGTAAAAATCAGAGCTATCATTTTTTTTCCTTGGCTTTTCATATTTGATTTTAATTTTGAGCACTCTTAGTCTTAAAACGTAGTTTTAGTTTTCTTATAAGCATACGGTAAACTTAGATGACTGTATGAAGCTAAAAGAAAGGATAGATAGATAGATAGATAGATAGATAGATAGATAGATAGATAGATAGATAGATAGATAGATATGAACAGACTTATTCAGAGAGGTAGAGAGAGAGGCGGGGAGAAGGAAGGGAGAAGACATGATAGACGCGCGCATGCACACACACGAACGCACGGACCGTAGTCTTATCGAACACGCACTCTCAGACGTATACAAACACATTTTTGTCATCACTTTTCTTTTTCTTTCTTTTTTTTTTTTTGGTTTTTACCCCTCTTTCAGTCTTCCTTGTCCTCTCTTTCTCATCTAATTATTGCAGACAAATGTCTATGTTGACGCTGTGCAGAAAATTTTAATATGTTAATTCGTAGGTGTGGTTATCTATTTGATTTGAATATGACTTTCTGAAGAAACAGACTAAAATCAAAAAACAGGAATCCTTCGGGTAGTCAATAAAAATTAGAAAACAAAACAAAACAAAAAAAAAAATACATTTGGAATCATCTAGAGATAATAAAAAGAAACGTGAGACAAATTTTAAAAGAATCCGTCAAAAGTTACAGTGAAATTAAATACCTGAAGTATGACATTTAATCAAGCCGAAATAAAACGCAAAATTTTTTGTCTGTTTTGCTAGCTCTAAAAATCATTGATTTAAACATTTTAAAAAATAAATTCTGTATTTATTTTCATTTAATGTGTGAGTTTTATCTACAAATTTCTCGTTACATAAATTACTGGAAGGAGTTTTATAATTTGTGTGAAAAAAAGGGATTCGGAAAAGTCAAAAGAGAGACTCAATTTGACACGATTTAAGTAGCAAGCGTTATAAAAATATTGGACAACACAGGAATTAAGTTAAAACAGCGACAGACCATTTTCCTGAATCTTTGTAAATTATTCTAAAATCTAAATGTTTGTTTTTCGTCTTTTGTTTTTTTTGTTTTTGTTTTTTTTTAAAAAAAAAAAAAAGAAAAAAAGAAACTTTTTAAATTGACATATTTCACCTCGATTCTGGGAGTTTTCTCTTGTACAAAATGAAAGGAAATGCCTGGATACATGTGTCAAATATTTTTACAGAGACAAAAGGAAAAAAATACAGACAATATGTTTATTATTTCTTGAGCGCATTATTAACGCGATTTACTGCTTTATCAAAAGTGGTTTCTTTTGCACTACAGTGGGTGTATTACACCAGCACAAAAAGGGAAATCGTCGAGCCGAGTTCAAAGTCCAACCTAATCCGTTGTATTTCACTTTTTTCACACAAATCCCCTTGGGATAGACACGAATCTATTTCTTCACCCACAAGCTAGAGATTAAATATCAGGGTAGATCTGTTTTTTTTTTGTTTTTTGTTTTTTCGTTTTGTCTTTTTTTAATAGGTATCACCCCAAGCAAGCAAGGGGTTACAGGGTGTCGAGAAATTAGTAACACAAACATTAGTAATGTAATGAGTAGAAAGAGAAAAGAGCAATCAGGAGGACAGTAGATACCGATTGACATTGCATTTAAATTTTTGTAGATTAAAGTTGGTTGGAAATCATGGAGCTGGCAGGGAGTTCCACAAGCAAGAAGTGCAGGATAAGAAATTGTCGGCATAGAAGTTACATCTAGCCAACTCAACTGTAAATTGAGATCTTGCCGCCAGTCTAATATTGCGCTTAATTTCATAACGTCTAGGTAGTTAAGAGCTCATCGGAACAATTACCATGAAAGTATTTATATATATATATATATATATATATATATATATATATATATATATATATATATATGTAAAAGGCACAGCGAGGCAACCTTAGGGCGGCGGGCAAGTGACTGAAACTGGGCCACCAGATCAGGAACGATAATATTGCTGATTCTTCTTTCGATGTTATCAAGGAGTTCCCGGTAAACAGCAGGGTCACCGGACCATATCTAGCAGCTATATTCTAAGCATGGGCGAATGGTAGACTCATAGATGTGCAATATAGTTTCCAGAGAGAAAAAATTGGGGTAGAAACCAATCTAAGAAAAAAAAAATTCTAAAATCCTAACTTACGGCCATATCACGTTGAAACACCAGTTCCCGTAAGATCACCAAAGTTAAGCAACGTCGAACCAGGTCAGTACCTAGATGGGTAGCCGCTTGAGAATGCCAGGTGCTGTAAGCTTGGATGTGCGGGTGGTGTAATTGATAGCGGCTCAGAATTGTTAATCGGAGGGCTGAGTTCCGATTCCAGTTGAGTTTGTTATATTCACTGACGCACAAATATCTTTGGGAAAAGGTATGAATCTACCGCATCTTTCCCCCAGCTATGGGTTAATTAGTAAGATTTGTAGCAGTAAAGCATCATTAGCTTGAAAAAATATTTTTACAATCTATTTTCTGGCTTTAAATAACCTGCAAAGTGTTGATAAGCCAGAGAAAACGAATCAATCAATGAAATATTAAATGGGAAGAAAACAACGGAAAATCACTCCACCATAATTCTCAAGAAGACATTATAATTGAGAGATAATAAAAAAAGAAAGAACACGTCAATAATTATATGCTGAAGTTAATATGGCATCATAAAAGAAAAAAATGATTTGATCATATAGAGTTATACTCTTATATTTGGTTTATGAAAAGTATTAATCAAAGAAGAATATAAATATATTCTTATCAGTGGATGCTAATTTTACAAGAAAATGCACTAAAAATGCTGGTATTGTTTACCTTTTACATACTTTACAGGTGGTTGAAGCATATAGCCACTTGAAAGATGGATAAAATACATTCTTCCTTATATACATATCTATCAATCTATCTATCTCAGTTTTTCAGTATCTATCTATCTGTCTATCTATCTGTCTCTTTATAGTTCTATCTATCTATCTATCTATCTATCTATCTCTTTTAGAACTATATATATATGTATATATATATATATATATATATATATATATATATATATATATATATATATATATATATATATATATATATATATATATATATATGTATATATATATATATATGTATGTATATATATATGTATATATAAATAAAAATGAAACATGGTTAGAACTGTGTAGCGAAAAAATATTTTAAATCAATTAATTTATATATATATATATATATATATATATATATATATATATATATATATATAAATGAACATTTCATTGAATACAACAGACAACGTGCTTTTATTTAGTTTTTTTATATAATTTCTCATGCGATCTAATAATTTCAGATGATAAATTATTTAATAGTTAAAATATTTAATCCTTGAAAATAGCTAAATGTATAGCCGAAAGCGCTCTCGGATAAAAGAACATTTGGACAGTTTTTATATAATTTATCATCCGAAAAGAAAAAATTATTAGATCGCATGAGTAATTGTATAAAAACTAAATAAAAGAACCTTGTCTGTCTTATTCAATGAAATGTGCAGGAAAGAAGAATTGCTGCCTAAATGCATGCACATATATGTATATATGTATATATATATATATATATATATATATATATATATATATATATATCAATCTCTGTTCAGATCTATATTTCTCTCAATCTGTTAATAGCTATCTGTCTGATCAC